CTTGCACAAGGGTGGGAAAGTGGCTTCGTTGGTAGACTGCTTGCTTTGCGTGCATGAGGCAGAAAAAGCTGGAAGTGGTGCTGTGGCTCAAGTGGAGAGCTCTAGCTTTGAGCTGAAGTGCTCAGGGACAGCACCCAGGCCCAGAGTTCAGGCCCCACGACCGACAAAAAAACAAAACAATACAAAACAAAACACAAAAACTTTACTAAGGAGGCTGATATCTGAGCATCACGGTTCAGAGCCAGCCCAGGCAGGAAAGTCCATGAAACTCTTATCTCCAATAAACCACTTAGAAAACCAGAATGGTGCTGTGGCTCAAGTGGTAGAGCACTAGCCTTGAGCTGAAGAGCTGAGGGACAAAACCTAGGCCCAGAGTTCAAGCTCCACATCTGACAAAACAACAACAACAAAAAAAAAACAAAAAACCTGCACAACATTTAACTTGAACTTGTCCATAAACTTAAGGGTAAAATACAAAACACTACACTTTCTAGAAAATAAGACAGGCAAAAATATAGATAATGTTGGGTTTAACAATGATTTTTTTTGTGTTTGTTTTTTGCCAGTCCTGGGTCTTGAACTCAGGGCCTGGGCACTGTCCCTGAGCTGCTTTTTGCTCAAGGCTAGTGCTCTATCACTTGAGCCAGAGCACCACTTCCGGCTTTTTCTGTGTACTGAGGAACTGAATCCAGGGCTTCATGCATGCTAGGCTAGCACTGTACCACTGAGCCACATCCCCAGCCTTAACAATGATTTCTTAAATACCAAAAGCACAATTCATGAAAGAAATATTACTCTGCACTAAATGTTTGTACATTTTTCAAAAACTTTTGAAAAGTATCTTTTACACTTTTTCTTTATAGAGGACATTACTAAGAAAATGAAAAGAAAAACCAAAGACCGGGAGAAAGTATTGGTAAAAATTAACCTGGTAAGAGACTTATATTCAATACATATAAGCAGTCTTTAAAACTCAACACAGCAAATACCATATTACACCCAATAAATCCAAAATAATAACACCAAATGTTGGCAAGGATATGGACCATGTATGTGTCTAGTAAAATACTAGACACTTAGAAATAATCTTTCAAGTTGTTTTTGTTGTTTGAGGCAATCTCACTATCCTGCCCTGGCTTGTCCCAGTCATCTTGGCTCAAGAACACATGCAATATTTATTTTTTCATCTGGCTTATTTTGCTTAACATGATCTTTTATTCCATTCATATTCTTTTTTTTTGGGGGGGGGGGCGTCCGGTTGTAGGGCCTGAACTCTGGGCCTGGGCGCTGTCCCTCAGCTCTTCAGCTCAAGGCTAGCACTCTACCACTTGAGCCACAGCACCACTTCCGGCTTTTTTCTTTTTGCTTATGTGGTGCTGAAGAATCGAACCCAGGGCCTCAGGCATGCAAGGCAAGCGCTCTACCACTGAGCCACCTTCCCAGCCCCTCCATTCATATTCTTAAAAATGACAATTTCATTTTTATGGCTGAATAATATTCAGTGTGTGTATGTATGTGTGTGTGTGCATAAAATCACATTTTCTTTGTCCATTTACTAGGTGATGGTCATGAAGGATGATTCCATATCTTGCCTATTGGGAATAGTCTTGCAGTTTCTTACAAAGCTTCCCATACAACTCATCAGTGATTCTTAGGCACTCAAATGTATAGAGAGCTTAACATCTATACACAAAAAGAAATACTTGCACACAAATAGTTATAGAGTTCTATAGCTAAAATTGTAAGCAATCAAGATGCCCATCAATAGGGAAATGGATAAACTATGGTATATATACCTGTGCAATGAAGTAAATTCAGTTATCAAGCCACAAAAAGAACTTCGAATGGACTTAAGTGAAAGAAGCCAGTCCAAAAAGGCTAGATATGAATCAAACAGGCAAAACTGTAGAGGTAATTGTGCCAAAGGCTCAAGGGGGAGAAGACAAGGAATAACTAATATGTGGAGGTTAGGGAACACATAGGAAATGGTTTGAATGGAACTGGAGAAGGGTACCAGAGCAGCTTGGTCATTTAGAGTAATACTACTTCTGCTAACACAATGTCAGGCTCATGAGGCTCAGCTAAGAATGCAAGTAAAGAAAAACTCAGGAGTCTCCCACACATTAAACAAGTAAAATTACTTTTAAAGAAAGAATAATTTTTCTTTTGTGCCAGAACTGAGGGTTGAACTCAGGGCCTTTGGTTAGCTTTTTCACTTCAAGATGGTGTTCTATCACTTGAATCACAGCTCTACTTCTGGATTTTTGCTGGTTAATTGCAGTTAAGAATCTCTCAGACTTTTCTGCCGGGGCTGGCTTTAATCTGCAATCCTCACATCACAGCTTCCTGAGTAGCTAGGATTCTAGGTGTAAGCCACCAGCACCTGGATCTAAAGCAAGAATAATTCTTATGTTATCTGAAAATTATCATTCGCACTCCTTTCAGCCTCACAGCAAAATGTACAAAACATATACCACTTAAAACTTACCTTAAAAATACTCGGGGGGGGGGGGGGGGGAGGAGGGAGGTGGTGGAGAGAAGGGATGGTGGGAGAACAAAGGAAGGGGTAACAATGCCCGATAGGAAATGTCCTCATTGCCTTACTCATGTGACTGTAACCCCTCTGTACAGCATCTTTACAAGAAAATAAAATTTTAAAAAATATACTCAGAGCCTGGGCAATGTCCCTGAGCCTCTTTGCTCAAGGCTGTACCACTTGAGACACATTCTGGCTTTTTCTGAGTAGCTTATTGAATATAAGGGGCTCATGGACTTTTCTGCTTGAGCTGGCTTCTAACCTTGGATCTCAGCCTTTTAAGTAGTTATGATTTACAAGTGTGAGCCACCAGCCCTCCACCGAGAGTGTGAGAGAGAGAGAGAGAGAGAGAGAGAGAGAGAGAGAGTGAGTGTGTGTGTGTGTGTGTGTGTGTGTGTGTGTGTGTGTGTGTGTGTGTTGGCAGTCAGGAATTGGAAGTCAGGACCTTCCATTTATTAGGCAGGCACGGTACCCTTGAGCCATAGCACTTCCAAGGTGGTTTTTGTTTGCACTAACCAAATGTTTGTTTTTTGTTTTTAGACTCCTCTCCCTCACCCCTTCCCCTTCCCCCTTGCCTCTCTTCCCTTCTTAACTTCTCTCCCTCCCCTGTCCTCCTCTTTCCTTCTTTGTTTTCCTCTTCTCTCCTGTCCTGTTCTCCCCTTTCCTTTCCTGTTTTCTCTTTTCATTTTTTCTCTCTTCTTCTCATCTTTCCTCTGCCTTTACTCTCTTGTGAAGACATCACATACCTTTCTGTCATTTTCAGGACAGAGCCTTAACCAGACATATCTGCTAACAGTTTGATCTTGGATTCTCAGTCTTCAGAACTGTGACAAAGTAAGTGTCTGATTAAGCTACCAACTCTATGGCAATTTGGTATTGTCCAAATGAACTAAGCTCCGCTCTGTTTCTCTCTGTCTCTGTCTCTCTCTCTCTCTCTCTCACTCACTCACTTTCTCGATCTCACTCTCGCTCTCTTTCTCTGTTTGCCAGTCCTAGGGCTTGAACTCAGAGCCTGGGCACTGTCCCTGAGCTTCTTTTGCTCAAGGCTAGCACTCTACCACAATGCCACATCCAGCCTTTTCTGTTTATGTACTGAGGAATCAAACACAGGGCTTCATGCATGCAAGGCAAGCACTCTCTCAGTAAGGCACATTCCCAGCCCTGGACTAAGTTCTTATCTTGCATCCAGAAAAAAAAAATGCAAGGCTTGGTTAAAAAAACCCAAAGCAGGGGCTGGGAAGGTAGCTCAGTGGTAGAGTGCTTGCCTTGCATGTATAAGGCCTTGGGTTCTATTCCCCAGCACCACATAAGCAAAAATAAAAAAAAAAGCCGGAAGTGGCGCTGTGACTCAAGTGGTAGAGCGCTAGCCTGAGCTGAAGAGCTGAGGGACAGCACCCAGGCCCAGAATTCAGGCCCCACGACCGGACCCCCAAAAAATAAATAAAAATAAAATAAAATAAAAAAATAAAAAGGGTAAAATTTACACGTGCACCTCCATGTTTATTGCAGCACTGTTCACAATAGCTAGGATATGGAAACAACCTAGATGCCCCACCACAGATGAATGGATCCAAAAATTGTGGTATCTATACACAATGGAATATTATGCAGCCATTAGAAATGACAAAATAATGGCATTTGCAGGGAAATGGATGGAGCTAGAAGGAATCATGTTGAGCGAGGTTAGCCAAGAACGAAGAGACAAACGGTACATGGTCTCCCTGATAAGTGGATGCTGAATCCAAAATGTTAGGTGATATGACAAAACTAACAGGACTTAAGAAACAAAGAACTCCCACTCATCTGGTTGAACCACTACTAAATATCCCCATGCTGCTGATCACATATATGGTATATAACATGTGAACACTGTTATATATTACAGACTGTGATAGACAATTTGCTCCAGGAAAGTTAGAATGAACTTGTGACTTTAAATGAGCATCATTATTCCACAATACTGTGAATTTCCGGAAATTATGTAATCACAATCAAAAAAAAAAAAAAGAACCTCGGGGAAGGGAGCAAAGGAGGGGATGGTAGGGAGAAAACAATGGAGGGGATAACAATGTTCAAGAGGAAGTGTACTCATTACCTCACTCATGTAACTGTAACCCTCTGTATAGTATCTTTACAATAAAAAAAAAAAAACCCAAAGCAAAAATAAATAAATAAATAAAAATACCCATTGTGCATGTGTGTGCACTTGCACGGACGCTTTAACCTGGGGCCTGTGTTCTCACTTGTCTTTTTTGTTTTTCGTTTTTCTTTTGTTTTGTTTTTTCTCAAGACTGATGCTTGAGCACATCTCCATTTCTGCCTTTTTGCTGGTTAACTGGAGCTAACAGTCTCCTGGATTTGTCTGCCTGGGATGGCTTTAAATGGTGATTCTGTTTTCAGAATTAGGATGTAAATTAGGATTAAAATAATTAGGATTAAAGTCTTGAGCCACCAGCCCCTGGCTGGCTTTAGATTTTCATATACAAGACAGGATGAGTTCCTTTCTCAGAGTGTGCTGCAGACTGAGGTGATACTTCTCCTTATCAGAAACTCTGCGGTTCCAATCGTATATTTTGTTGGTGAGTTCCACATGGAGATCCACAAGTGGGCGTTTTCTGGAGGAAATGAGAAAGGCAGAGTTTAATGTCATGAAAATACCAAAGTGAAGAGAGATTGTCATTAGAATGACATCAGCCAGCAGATGTGACAGCTCTTGAAACTGTTCCTTTCTAAATGATTCATACGCTGATTGGGGATGATCCAAAACAGGTGGCAACACTGCAGCCAGAGGGCCACAGTCTCCTCTCCCCAGGGCAGCCAAATTGTACTCTGAGAACACAAGAGCTAGATAATGACCACCTGGTGTCCTATGCAGATGCTGGAGGGGTATAAAAGCCAATAATACTATGGAATATCTACCTTGGAACGCATGAGTCACTCTCCTTACAGCTCTCCCCTTCCTGCTGAGTCACCACTGAATGGTCTGGGGAGGGAAAGCTACAAGATGTGGGCCTTTGGCATGTAGAACTACAATGCATCCAGAGTGTATTTGACAAGAGGCTCAAACATTCTAAATTACAATAAAGGGGCAGCTGAAAAAAGCTAATTGATTTTGTACTTGAGGTAGATCATGGCTTCATTCAATTTAACTGAAAACTGGGACCCTAATGTTTCCCTTAGGGAAGTATTCCTCCCAATACCCATCAAAACTGTTTACACAGAGGATACATTCTAAAATCCTTAGTGGATGCTTGAAACCACAGAAATCACTGAATCCTATACTGCACAAACTATGCTATCTTTTCTCCTATGTTTTTTTTTAAATATCTATGATAAAGTGTAATTTATAAATTAGTTATAATTTGTTGCCTACCAACCATGAGGTGCTAGGTTCCTTCCTCACCACCGAGGGAAATACAGGCCAGAAAAAAGGCTGAGAAAGAGCTGGGAAGATGGCTCAGTGGTAGACTGCTTGCCTCACATGCATGAGGCCCTGGGTTCGATTCCTCAGCACCACATAAGCAGAAAAAGCTGGAGAGTGCTAGCCTTGAGCTGAAAAGCTCACGGACAGCACCCAGAACTACAAGTTCAGGCCCCACTACTGGCAAAAAAAAAAAAAAAAAAAAAAAGCTGAGCTATAGAGATGGAAGAGTTCCCACTGTGAAAGCAGTATGAGACCCTAAGTTCAACATAAGTGCTGTCTCTCCAAATGAATATATATGGCTTTGGGAGGGGTGGGGGTATAAAAATATAATTGTCACTATTGTACATAGGGGTTACCATTTCCTAAGTTGGGTGATGAATATATTTCTTTTTTGGAAAATGTGGCCTAATTTCCCCACAGTTTGATTTTTTTTTTTTTTTTTTTTTTTTGGTCGGTCATGGGGCTTGAACTTGGGGCCTGAGTATTGTCCCTGAGCTCTTTTGCTCAATGCTAGCTCTTTGAGCTATAGTGCTACTTCTGGTTTTCTAGTGGTTAATTGGAGATAAGAGTCTCATGGACATTTCTGCCTGGGCTAGCCTCAGATCTCAGCCTTCTGAGTAGCTAGGATTAAAAGCATGAGCCACTGGCACCCAGCTGGATGTTTTTTTATTTTTATGTTTATTAATTAACTTGTTATTGACATGATGTGCAGAGAGATTACCATTACATGTGTCTGGTAATGAGTACATTTCCTTTATTCCTCATTCTCTCCTAATCCCTTCCTCCCATCTTCAGTGACGAGTTGTATAATTCACTTTCATCAGTGTCCAGTGAAGGCCACTGCTGCACTTTTTCACTCTTTTCCTTCAAATTCTGTACCCTCCCCCCAATCCTTGTGAAGATGTACACTTGAATACGCTATACAGATACAGATATGAATAATAGAAATATATACAGATCGGTATATACATATACTGTACATATACATATCTGTAAAGAAGGCAAATCATCAAAAACTAAAAAGGAAAAAAGGTTTCTCGTTCCCATACCTTTGAGTTTGTTTCAGTATGTATATAATTTTATGTAACTATGAAAAGGCATGTAGGCACCTTTGTGCTTTGCTCCTAAGAGTATCCTCTTTTGGTCTCACTGTATGAGTATGTAGCATCTTGTATACTCTATCATATCCCAGTGTATTTTAGATCTTATATCCGCATATCAGAGAGAACGTGTGTGGATATTCCCTCTGAGCTTGGCTTACCCATGATTTGTTCTAGTTCCATCCATTTCCCTGTAAATGACATTATTTTGTTCTTTCTTTTTTTGTCAGTTGTGAGGCCTGAACTCTGGGCCTGGGCGCTGTCCCTCAGCTCTTCAGCTCAAGGCTAGCACTCAACCACTTGAGCCACAGTGCCACTTCCAGCTTTTTCTGCTTATGTGATACTGAGGAATTGAACCCAGGGCCTCGTGCATGCAAGGCGAGCACTCTACCACTGAGCCACCTTCTAAGCCCCTATTTTATTCTTTCTAATGGTTGTACAAAGTTCCATTGTGTATAGGTGCCACACTTTTGGATCTACTCATCTACTGTAGGGCACCTGGGCTGTTTCCATATCTTGGCTATTATGACTAGCACACCAATGACCATGGGTATGCAGGTGGCTTTATCATATCCTGGCTCCTATCTCAAGGTAGATGCCCAGGGGTGGTATGGCTAGGTTGTAGGAAAGGTCTATGTTTAGTTTTCTGAAGAACCTCCAGACTGCTTTTCAGAGTGGTTGTACTAGTTTACATTCATACCAACAGTGTAGTAGGGTTCCTTTTCCCCCACATCCCCACTAAATTGTTGGCCAATCTAACTGGGGTATGATAGACTCTCAGAGTTGTTGATTTGCATTTCCTTTATGGCCATGGATGTAGATATTGCTTTTATAAGAAAAAAATATGTATAATTTCTTAGTTTTGAAGAAATATATCCAAAGTGTTCATAAAATGTGCTAGATCTAGGTCACATCCTTAGGAAACCTCAATAAGGAAGCAAAAAATTTTCTGCTCTGTGAAGAGCACCAAATTAGAGCATAGCTATAATCCCCATTTTGATAGCAGGACAATAAAAAAGTGGTCCAGGATCATCTACCTCCCAGGTGGCTTACCTTCCTTGCTCCAGCTGCCGGGAGAGATTCTCCAGGTATACAGAGTGTGAGCTGAAAGTCTCTTCCAAATGAGACACATCTGCTCTACACAGACTCCAGAATATGTCAGCTTCTTGGTGAACCATGTAGGGCTCAGGATTCAGGACCTTGGATTCCTCGTTGTTCATTGCTGGGCCATCCACCTCCAGGAGGTTGCTGTCTTCCAGCTGGCCCTCCAACACCTCATAGTTCTGAATGAAGAAGAGCTTCGGTTTCCCTATGAGGTAAGGGCATGCATCTCCTGTGAACGTCCTCCTGATCTGATCCAAGGAAAGCCCTGAGTGAGTCTGGTCCACACCAAACACACTCTGGGAGCTTCCTCGGCTCACCAGGATACAGACAAAGCTGTCATAGTCTTGGTGTTGGGGCATACAGGCCATTCTGTGCAGTGCTTGGGATATATCTTCTGCTTGAAGATAGGATAAACACTGGACTTTATAACCCAAGGATGTGAAGGCACGTTGAAGATCTTCTGGAGAAAACAAATAGGGAAAACAACACAGGAATTAGAAAAGCCCAAGAGGAACTGGGTAGAAATCTTATGCATAGTTTAGTCTCTGTTACTTACACCTTGGTGAATGAATTACCAACAAGTGATCCTCCAATCCCACTCAAACCTGTGGTTGGTCCCCTTATCTCATCAGAAAATCAGAAATGCTGTAATAATTAGTATATGCCTAGGATAGTCATAGCAAAGGATCACAATAGCTCAATAGCTATGTATATATGACCATATAAAATGATAAATCAAAATGAACTCCAAGATATGGAAACAAGAATCTTTTTAGTGTACTGTTTGCAGTTATTTCTTTTTCCTCCCCCCACAACCCCCCTTTATTCCCTGTGCTCACTGCTTTTTATTTTGTCTTGTAAATAGGTTTATCTGATTAGGAGCAAGGAAGGGGAACCACCAAAACAGTGGGACAAAGGGTGAATCTAGCCATACTTACTAGACACTATGTTGGAAATGAACTTTACAATTTGCAGGGAGGAGAGTCAAGGGGGAGGGAAAACAAGAGAAAACCAGGGAGGGGGTAACACTGAAAGAAATCCTCATTACCTTACTTATGTAACTGTAACCCCTCTGTACATCACCTTTACAATTAAAAAAAAAGGCAACAACAACAAAAAAGAAAATATGAAATGGAACAATCCAGCTATGGTGCTCCTATATTTCTGACCCAAAGGGAACTGTGGAAGATATAAAGCAATTAAGATTGTTTTAAGCAATTCAACTTTGGAGTGATTCCTGCACATCATTAGAAAGAAAATTCATATAAAATCCTTTGACCTTATCAGTAAAAAGAAATAAGCAGACTTAAGAGTGTACTTAAGTTAATTACTTTTCTTCTTTATCTGGCACACAGTTAATGGTCACAAAATGAATTATTATATCCTTTAAGAATGAAAAGATACAAACAACCTAACCAATATTCCTTAGCCTACAATCTATAAACACCATTACTAAAAAAATGGAGCCATTATTCACAGATTGCTAATAAACTACTAAACTCCATGTGGTAGAAAGGCCCAGCCATAGTGGCCTAAGAAATCTCCCCAGAGTGTGAGCAAGACCCCAGTGCCCAGAACTGGTCGTACATTGGAGGACAGTGACAGAACCTAGACAAATACTATTTCACACCAGTTTCAGAACTCACAGGTCACTTGTCATGGAGTCTTCCCTCCTCTAGGGGTGGAAGCAAACAGGGAAACATCAGATCCCAAGCTCTGTTTCCTTGTTATGAGACTGCTTCAACTTTTCACTGATATTATCAGCAGGGATAGGACAAACTTAGGGTGGTGCCTCTAACTCCTTCCTTTATCTGGGCTCATTCTTAAGTGCAGTCATTAGATAGTTGCACAGTACAGAGTAAAAGAGAAACAGCCCCACCGATTAGGTCCTGTTCATCCACCTCTTTCTAACCTTGCAGGATCTTAACACAGGTGTGACCTACATTAACAGAGGAGTTAGAAGGGAATGAGAATCTGAGGTCTGATATAGAAAATTCTTAATTATAGAACAGGAATGAAAGACAAAAGTCAGAAATGAAACCAAAAACATGCAGGTCCCAAATGCTTCAAATAAGTACAAGAACACCATATTAGAGGTGCTGTGGGAGAAAACAGAGCATCGATTTAGCATCACTGGCAAGACAAAGTCCTTATAGCTGATGCTTTCCATTACTAATTCATTTTCCTCAGATAGATGGGTAGGGACACACTAGCTTACATTTGCTAACTGGGCCAGCAAAAGCATGTGTTCAGCCCAGCCTACTTCATAGTGACAAGGTATGATGACAGTGTGACGCTGAGTAAGTGATAGCCTCTGATCATTCATACTAGAATAGAATTCATACTAGTACCTAAACTGAGTTCTTCAAAAGGTAGCTGTAAAGACTCAATGATATTCGTGTAAAGATGCTTACAAATTGAGAGTATTTATTCAAGACATAAGATTCATATTAAAGATGAAAAAGGCAGCCATTTCAAACTTTGAATTAGGGACCTTGTAGCACATCTCTTCATAGAAGCTACCTCTTAAGACCCAAAGGGAGGTGTCAATTTTCTAAACTAAAACAATGGACTGAGGACAGACAGATCTGTGTCCACTTAACTACTGTGCCTCTGCCCACAAGGCCTTAACTGTATAAATGACAACCGCTCCTTAGAAAAGACTTCTTGAATTTTGGCTTTCTTCTAGCTTGCAGTCAGTATAAGGCTGCTAGTGGAAAGGCCACGGTCAGTACGACTCACAGATTTAGGAACCATCAATATGAAGCCCCCATAATTAAATGAAGTAAAGTGTCATGATTGCATTAATCTAGAATTCATTTAGATTAAGTGAGGGCATACCTATTTTGACTTGTTCTATGAAAAGGGTCCATTAGAATAAACATATAGGATAGAAAAGAATTGTCACACCAGTGTATTTAGTTACGTATCAAGTACCTTTAATAAAACAGGTTCTAATTAGTGTAAGGTATGTCAATAGAACACAAGATAAATATATGTGTGTGTCTTTCTAAATTCTAAAACCCTCTAAAGTCTGAAATACAAGAGTCTTCAACAAAGGACATTCTGGACTTTAAAAAGTATGGGCTTGCAACATCTGAGTAACTCTGATTTAAGTGGAAATTCTATTAATGAGACTAGACTTTCAAGTGAACAACTGCTTAGGCCCAGTGGAAAAGAATGCCCAGGAAACCAAGAGCATCATTATAGATTCCTGGTCCTTTGCTCCTAGGAAGAAACCCTCCTTAATGGTACATTATTCCCATGAGAACAAGGAGTAGGCCCTCAACTCCCTTGGCCCTCAAGTTGGCCAGAAGCATGTGGCTGCTGTCTGAGTGAAGCATTTCTCCAACTTTTGATATCACTTGACATTCATAATTTATAAACAGAATGAGACAATAATGTTTGCTGGAAATTAGCTCATGGTTACAATGTGCTAGGAACTGTTCTAAGCCCTTTATGAATAGAAAACTCACTCATTCCACTCCGCCCCCACTCTGTGACAGGTCCTGTTACCAACCCACTTTACATCAGAGAAACAGTCTTAAAGAGACTAGGAAAGTTGTCCAAGGCTACAAGCTAGGACATGGCAGAGCCATGATTCAAACCTATCCAGTTACATTACAGGGCCCAGTTCCAATCATGCTGCTTTAATGCAGAGATATACAAATAGGCATATAGTCCCTTTCCCATAGAGACCCATATCCAACCGGGGAAGCAAGCTCAGGGGTAGATTTAGGTACAGTAACTTTTAAATTCTAACAGGAATTGATTTTATCTTGATTCTCTTTCTGCAATAGATATGTGTATAAGAGTATCCACTGATGTTGGGAATTTTTCTGTTGAATAAAACAAGGCTGATAACAGAAGTAGAAGACAATTACATAGTGTCTTTTAAAACAGGAAGTGACTCACAGAAAAGATACTTGTTTGGTTTTGTTTCAGCACAGTGCTTGAACTCCTCTAGCCCTCTCTTGGGCTTTTTTTGCCAAGGTTGGTACTCTACCAACTAAGTCATACCTCTACTTCTAGCCTTTTCCCAGTTAATTGAAAGTAGGAATCTCATAGACTTTTCTGTCAGGGCTGGCTTTAAACCCTAATTCTCAGATCTCAGCCTCCCAAACAGCTAAGATTACAGGCATGAATGGTCAGTGCCTGCTTTAATAGCTAAAAAGGAAAATACAACTTTCTATCCCTGAAGAAACAGCACTTTTCACATCTAAACAAAAAAATGGGATATAAGAAAATATCTAATCTGATATGCTGGGAAATTCAGTTTCATATTTGCTAATTTGACATTATCTTATACTTTTAAGTGAGCTTCACAGATTGTCCTAACTCATGTTAAGAGAACATTGAGAAGCTGGAAAGCTAGAATTATCCTCTCAAGGGAAAGATAAATAATGAGAGGAACGTTATTCCACTTATCCAGGAGCTTCTCACTCTCTTTTGATGTGTCACCAATGATTCAGTTTGAGTCAGACATCTCACAATAACTGAACAGAAGAATTCAGATCTAAATGATGGTGACACACAGGCAGACCAACCACTAAGTATAGGATGACAGACCCAAGTAACACATGGCTCAGATCATTTTAATATCTCTAAGAAAACCTTTTCATACTTGGTGAAATAATCGAATCTAATAATTTTGGAAATCAGATTATCTTCTAATATAAATGTTTCCTGGATCCCAGAATTGTTCCCTGCTACAGCATCCTGGATGGAAAGGCAAAATTAAAGTATACCAACTTTTTCACAGTTTTATCTGTTTGAGTAGAGCATGCTACGTGTTCTCCAAGTTTATTCCATTTTTCTCCTGATACATAGCTAGACTAATTTACCCATGTCCACTACGGTTAGCTGGAGCCACATAATTGAGTTTTAAGCAACAGAATGTGGGTAGAAATGATACCTATCACTTTCATGTCTCAGAAGATGATGGAGCCACTCAGCGGTCCAAAGCTCCCCAGCCCAATCCATTTTAGACTATGACATGAGTGAGAAAAAAATGTCAGTCTTATAGCAGCGAGTGTTGATTATACTGATGAATCCAATGTATTTGTGTTTTTCATGATCTCACTGTAGGGCATCAGTTAATCTATAGCTTCCATACTTACCTGTATCATTACCAGTGCAATTGATTATCAAACAAATTCCCAGGGGCTTGCTCTGCATTCTGTATCTTTCTTGAGTCTTGGGCTGGAAAGAAAAAGACTATTAGAATCACTCTGAATACTGTTCTCTTCCATAAGTCCCCCTCCTACAACAGCTCTTCTTTTGGATTTCCTTAAACATCACGTTGGCAGATGAGTCACTCAATAGCTACTGCCTTAAATCATCACAGATGACATTTCCTGTGAATACCAATTTTTTCTTCTATTAGGGTACTGTGCTTAAGACAAGCTATTTCAGTTGTCAATTTTAATGAAAATTATACTCTCTACATGTGCCTTAGCCTTGCACAAGAAAGATATTTTGAGGCAGAAAGAAGGTAGTAATATTGTTTCTACAGTAACCTAAAATAGAAATAAAGATACCTTTCCAAACCAGTCCAAAAGAGGTCTTCTATTGCCTCTTTAAGGAGAGGGAGGTACCAGCTGAGTGGAATGGGGAAGGGGGACAGAGCAAATCAAGATCCGGTAGTGTCACTGCCTACTTATTTGTTCAGAAATCACTCCTCCCTGAGGAGAGGAACCACTTTGGAATTTCCTTCACTCCAAATCAATCTACTTTGACATATCCTCTTTGCTACGTCCACAATTCTCTGGTCGACCAGTTCTTAGGAGAACAACATTTGGAGAAACCCATCATCACAAAGAATTCTTAATGGACAGGTGTTTTTAAAAAAAATCTGTTTTTGCAGATACTGTGCTTAAAATATATTACCAGGGCTGGGAAGGTGGCTCAGTGGTAGAGCGCTTGCCTTGCATGCACGAGGCCTTGGGTTCCATTCCTCAGCACCACATAAGCAAAAAGAAAAAAAGCCAGAAGTGATGCTGTGGCTCAAGTGGTAGAGTACTAGCCTTGAGCTGAAGAGCTGAGGGACAGCGCCCAGGCCCAGTGTTCAGGCCCCATAACCAGACCCCCCCCCAAAAAAATATATATAACCAACCAAATAAGGAAATATATTACATACCTGAAGCAAAAAAGCTCCTGATTCCTGAATGGGCATCTTCACAGGTTTTTCTGGAGGATGAAAGAGAAATGTTACAAAATATAAAGAGAATTAACCCCACTCCCATGCTGGCTGAGTACTCTTTGCTTATTTTCCTCAACTATATCTCTCCTTCTTGCCATACCTAGTGTAGAAGTTCCAACTTCATACTGAAAAACTTGACTGACAGGAAAACTCACAATTGCCCTCCTCCACAAGGACTATGAAGAAAAACTGCTCACATGCCAGTGAAAGAAAGTGTGTCTAGAAGTGTTTCTTCTTGGATCCTGTCTGCTAGGGTTCTATATGCTTCTGTTAGGTAAGATTTGCTCTCTTAAGATTGGAGAGGTTCTCTGTTACTATTTTACTGAATCAGTTTTCAATGCCTTTACTATTAAATTATTCCCCCTTGTCCATCCAATTATGCATAAATTTCTTAGCTGAGTATGCCAATTTTTGGACTTCACTTTGGTAGGTTCTCAGTGTTTGTTTGTTTTTTACTATGCATTTGACTTTGTTCTAGCTCCTCTGTTTTATCCTCCACTCCTGTTACTCTATTTTCCATTTCACTTATTCTGTTACCTATAATTGCTCTGTGGTTTGCATTGTGGAAATTGAACCTCTTATGCTTTTGAGATCAGTTCTCATCGTGTCCATTTAGTCTTTTAATGAGGTATATAGTGTGTCTTTTTAGGTCTTGGATTTCCTTTGACATTTTTTCTTTGTACTCTTGAAATTATTTTCGCGTCCCCCCTTGTATTTCATTAAGCAATCCAGTCGTCATTTCTTGAATAGCTCTCTTACCCTCCATCTCTTCTTCACTCTCATGAGGTCCTCCTCTGGATTATTGTTGCCTTTTGGATTTGGTTTGTTGTCTTGATTGCTCATAATCTTGTAATCTTGCATCGTGATATATGCATTTGGGTTCAGGGATTGTCAGGACCATGGCCCGAGCTTGGCCTGTTTGTGCCTGGGCAGGTGGCAGCGCTTGCTTGGCCCAGGTTGGCTTACACTGGGTTAGCCCACACTGGGTCCCCAGACCAGCATGCAGCATTGTGTGTGCTTGGCCAGGGCCTAGCTGAAAGGATTTCCGTCTGGTCTGTAGCAGGGACTGGCCTCTGAAAGGGGTGTATGCTTCACAAGGGGTGGGAATCCCACAAGTGTGCAGGAGCTTGAGCTCTGGCCCCAGGTTGGTTCTCTCCCCTCAGGTGGCCAGCATCTGGCTGCTGGCTTAAGGGCTTTGGAAGGGGTAGGCTCCAGCGGGTATGCGGATTTGGCTGTTTTTTCAAAGAGGCCAGGTTTCTCTGCTGACAGCCAGGACTGTGGTGGATGCAGGGTCCTAGACCCCCAGTATGAGTCCTGGTGGCCTCCCATTGAAGCCAACACGTGGGTCAGGGGAAGAGGAAGGACTCTGACCTCTTTGTCCTCTTCAAGTGTGGTGCCTCTTCTTGGGTGGGAAGGAAGGGTCCTGGCCAAGATCTGGAGGTCACTACCAGCACAGATCTGGTGAGGTGGGGGTCCCCGGCAGGGTACTTACTGATCCTGGAATTGGTTGTGGGTTGACCAGCAGTGCTGTGGCCAATCTCCATGCCTGCTGCAGCCTTGCTGGTAGGGTCCTGGGTCCCAGGTGGCCGCCGAGCTGCTCCTGCCACCAAGCCACTCTGGCTCCCTGCAGAGCCTCTCCACGGTGATACCACAGGAGCTCTCCAGGTCTGGGTGTGGCAGTTGCTCACCTCTGCGCTGACCAGGTCCAGTGCTGTGGGAGTTTTCTGTGTCTGAATGCTGCAGTCTGCGAGTTGGTCCTGGCGAGTTGGTCCTGGAGTGAAGGGCAGCCACGGGCCACTTTCCAGGCTTAGCCACATTGCCAGCTTGGGATGGGAGGATGGGGGAGGGCTCTTTGCGATTTTCTGTCATTATGTGTTTTTTTGGTTTGTATGTTTGTTTTTCTTCAGTTCCTGTGATTCTCTGCTTGTTTCTGTATTTGTGATTGTCAAGCTCTTGGGGAGAAGTACATGTTAGGACCCCAAATCTCTGTTTGGTTAGAGAGAGCTAGGACAATTCCCTGTTGTTTTGCCACCATCCTTTTCCCCAACCCCTATGGCTCATTTTTTCAATTGAATGTTTTCTTTCTTAGGAGATGGTGGAGTGTCCAGATATATGAAATGGACTATACAGCAAGAACCTATTAACTGCTCTTCTTCCTGCTGCTAGCTATTTGATTTAACATGGTCTATTATCATGGTTGGATTAATAATTAACATGGCCTGATTATAGTTTCCTTAAAAATATGGCAAAGATGATGCACTTGATGGAATAAGATGGTATTCTGATTTAGATGAGCTAATTCATTGGGTAACTAGAAATGCCAGTAAATTCAGTTAAGAGTTAAACTCCTTTATGAAAGCTTAGTTAGAATGTGTAGAAAAAATAGCCAACTCTACCTTTTTTTTTGGTGGTACCAGGACTTGGACTCAGGACCTCACAATGGTCAGTCTTGCTGGCTCAGCTGATGCTCTACCACTTGAGCCATGCGTGCAGCCCAGAAATAACCAACTCTAAAATGCAATTTTTGCTCTATTTTTATTTTTTCAGAAGATAGAATCCTATTGTTGCCTAGCCTGGGCTTATCTGAGGATCACAGTTCTAAGTTACCCAAGTAGACAGATCCAAGAGTCTCTAATCTCCAGTTAACCAACACAAAGCTGAATGTGGCCATGTGACTCAAGTGGTATTGCACCAGCCTTGATCAAAAAGCTAAGCAAGAATGTGAGGCCTTGCATTCAAGTCCCAATACTGGCACTAAATAAACAAATAAAAGAAAAATGCTGAGGTCAAGTGATCCTCCCACCTTCCCACCTCAGCTTCCCTAGAAGATGGATTTATAAGTGTGAAATACCACCTCCAGCTAACTATAACTTCTCCCCCCCAGGGCTGAGGATCAAACCCAGATCTCATGCATACTAGACAAGCACTGGCCACTGAGCTCTACCCCATCCTCTGCAACATTTTCTATGTACTTTATCAAGAATGTATAAGTGGATATAAAAAATTTGGTCTTACTTTGGATGATATGATATTCTGCAAGTCTTTGTTCTTTGTTTCTTCCATTCTGGAAGAATATATAAAGAATAAGGTCACACTCTTTTTTTCCCAGAAGCATGTTATATTACACTTCTTTAAATATCTCAAAGGATTCTTACCCAAGGGAGAAAAAAAATCACATTCACAGTTATCTAAAAAGAATAGCAAGAATGGTTAGCTCTGTAAATCCTATGTTATACTGCCAATAAAACAAGGCAGCTCTTCTTTTTGAAAAATGAAAACTTAAAAAAGCATAAATATGGTAAACATATTAGAATGTTTTGAAACAGCTTAATAAAACCACATGTTGCTGGGCATCAGTGGTTCATGCCTGTTATCCTAGCTATTCAAGAAGCTGAGATCTGTGTATTGTGGTTTGAAGCCAGCCCGGGCAGGAAGCTCCATGAGACTCTTATTCAATAAACATCTCAAAAAGCTGGAAATATCATTGTGACTTAAGTGGTAGAGTTCTCACCTTGAGCAAAAGAAGCTCAGAGACATAATCTCTTTCTCTTCCATATTTCTGATCAATAAACTTTCCAATCATTTTTATTGAAAAATAAATAAAAATGAAGATTTGAAAGGATAGAAATAAAAGCGATTGATACACTAGTGCTATAAAACTGTGGCTTATCAGGAATATCATTGGATAGTGGGAGGACTATGGATTGGGTCCAGCCTGCCAGTAGCTGGAGATGGACACTTAGTGTTCTTTAGGCCTTAGTTTCCTTATTTTGATCAATGAATGGATGCAACAGTGCAATCCTCAATATCCACTTTAGCTCTAAAATGCTATTGCTCAGTGGTATCTCCTACTGCTCATATTCTCCAAGACACTATTTATATTAAAGTAGTGGTTAATGTTTTCATCACATTTATGAAAGAGTTTAACCACACAATTACACTCTTAAGTCCTCACTACAAATTCTGCATAACTTTATATAGGATGAGGACAAGAGTACACTACCATTCTTCTTGCCAAGGTAAAATACTAACCGAAAAACGATGAGACTTTGTACTGCTTACTACCAACACAACAAGTGATTATGTAACATTTATGTTCATGAACTCAAAAACCTTAGAACAAAACTTTTATTGAAATTGTTAAAAATAAGCTTAGTAGAAAAACAAATACACAGAGATAAGTAGAGGACTTTTTAGCAGTTTGTAATTATAAAAAATGGAAGCAACAAATACATTATAATGGTTAAATACATTAAGATACACCCAGAAAATAAAAATTATTCATCATAATGATTAGAGGTTGTTATATATGAATCATCTGAAATGACTAACTTTGGGAAGTAAGAAGAAAACACTGTAAAAACTTTTTTTTTTTTTTTTTTTATTGTAAAGCTACTATACAGAGGGTTACAGTTACATGAGTGAGGTTATGAGTACACTTCCTCTTGAACATTGTTACCCCCTCCATTGTTTTCCCCCTACCATCCCCTCCCTCCCTCCCTTCCCCGAGGTTCTTTTTTTTTTTTTTTTATTGTGATTAAATGATTACATAATTTCAAAGTCACAAGTTCATTCTAACTTCCCTGGAGCAAATTGTCTACCACAGTCTGTAATATATAACAGTGTTCACATGTTATATACCATATTTGTGATCAGCAGCATGAGGATATTTAGTAGTGGTTCAACCAGATGAGCGGGAGTTCTTTGTTTCTTAAGTCCTGTTAGTTTTGTCGTATCACCTAACCTTTTGGATTTAGCATCCACTTATGAGGGAGACCATGTACCGTTTGTCTCTTCGTTCTTGGCTTACCTCACTCAACATGATTCCTTCTAGCTCCATCCATTTCCCTGCAAATGCCATTATTTTGTCATTTCTAATGGCTGCATAATATTCCATTGTGTATAGATACCACAATTTTTGGATCCATTCATCTGTGGTGGGGCACCTAGGTTGTTTCCATATCCTAGCTATTGCGAACAGTGCTGCAATAAACATGGAGGTGCACGTGTCCTTGTATATTGGTTCCTGTTGTTCAGGGTAGATGCCTAGAAGTGGTATGATTGGGTCATAAGGGAGGTCAATCTTTAGCTTTCTAAGGACCCTCCAGACTGCTTTCCAAAGTGGTTGTATAAGTGTACATTCCCACCAGCAGTGTAATAGGGTTCCTCTTTCTCCACATCCCCTCCAGCATTTGTCGTTGGCTGATTTGTGGATGTGGGACATTCTGACTGGGGTAAGGTGGTATCTCAGGGTTGTCTTTATTTGCATTTCCTTCACCACCAGGGATGATGAACATTTCCTCATGTGTTTCTTTGCCATTTTTATTTCTTCATTTGAGAAGTCCCTCTTTAGTTCCCTTGCCCATTTAGTAATTGGTTTGTTAGGTTTGGGAGGGATTAGTTTCTTGAGTTCCCTGTATATACAGGATGTTAACCCCTTGTCTGATATATTGCTGGTAAATATTTTTTCCCAATTAGTTGGTTGTCTTTCTAGCTTAGTTGCGATAGATTTAGCTGTGCAGAAGCTTTTTATTTTAAGGTAGTCCCATTTGTCGAGTCTCTCTCCAACTTGTTGTGACCCTGGGACTCTGTTCAGGAAGTTCCTTCCTGTGCCTATTAGTTCAAGTGTCTCTCCTACTCTGTCCTGCATTAGTTTCAGAGATTCAGGTTTAATGTTAAGGTCTTTAATCCATTTTGAGTTGATGTTGGTGCATGGTGATAGGCTGGGGTCCACTTTTAGTTTTCTGCATGTGGCTGCCCAGTTTTCCCAGCACCAGCGGTTGAAGAGGCTGTGTTTCTTCCATTGTATGTCTTTGGCTCCTTTGTCGAATATCAGCTGGCTGTAGGCCTGTGGATTTATATCTGGATCTTCTATTCTGTTCCATTGGTCTTCGGGTCTGTTTTTGTGCCAGTACCAGGCTGTCTTTGTGATTATAGCTCTGTAGTAGAGTTTGAAGTTCGGCATGGATAGCCCTCCCATATTGTCTTTATCCCCTAGAATTGTTTTGGCTATTCTAGGTCTTTTGTTGTTCCATATAAATTTTTGGACTGTTTTCTGTATTTCAGTGATGTACGTCATTGGGATTTTAATAGGAATTGCATTGAATTTGTATATTAGTTTTGGAAGTATCACCATCTTTACTATATTAAGTCGGCCTATCCAGGAGCATGGGAGGTCTTTCCATTTCCTAGTGTCTTCTGCAATTTCTTTAACTTTTTATAGTTCTCATTAAATAGTTCTTTTACATCTTTGGTTAGGTTAATTCCTAAATATTTTATTTTTTGGGAGGTTATTGTGAATGGGGTTGCTCCCTTTATTTCCCTCTCTTCCTGTGCGTTATCAGTGTATAGGAAGGCAACTGATTTTTGTGGGTTTATTTTGTATCCTGCTATTTTGCCGAAGTGACTTATGATTTCTAAAAGTTTGGGGATGGAGTTTTTGGGATCGTGGAGGTATAGTATCATGTCGTCTGCAAAAAGGGATAGTTTCACTTCTTCTTTCCCTATGCGGATCCCTTTAATGTCTTTTTCTTGCCTTATTGCCCTGGCTAAGGGTTCTAGGACTATGTTGAAGAGGAGTGGAGACAGTGGACATCCTTGCCTTGTTCCTGTTTTTAGGAGGATTGGTTGTAGCTTTTCCCCATTAAGTATAATATTGGCTATTGGTCTGTCATAAATGGCTTTTATTGTTTTTAGAAATGTTCCTTCTATTCCTATTTTCTCCAGAGCTTTTAGCATGAATGAATGTTGAATTTTATCAAAGGCCTTTTCTGCATCTGTGGCGATAATCATGTGATTCTTGACCTTGGCTCTGTTGATATGCTGGATTACATTTATTGACTTACGTATGTTAAACCATCCCTGTGTCTCTGGGATGAAGCCTACCTGATCATAGTGTATTATTTTTTTTATGTGTTTCTGGATTCTGTTAGCTAGAATCTTGTTAAGGATCTTTGCATCTGTGTTCATCAAGGAGATTGGCCTGTAATTCTCCTTTTTGGTTGGGTCTTTGCCTGGTTTGGGGATGAGTGTGATATTGGCTTCGTAGAATGAGTTTGGGATAGCTCCCTCCTTCTCTGTTTCTCTGAAGAGCTTGAGGAGTATGGGTATTAGTTCTTCTTTAAAGGTCTTATAGAATTCTGCTGTGAATCCATCTGGTCCTGGGCTTTTTTTTGTTGGAAGACTTTTGATAGCTTCCTGTATCTCATTATAGGATATTGGCTTATTTAATTGGTTAACTTCTTCTTTGCTCAGTTTGGGTAACTTGTATTTCTCTAAAAATGCATCCATTTCCGCCAAATTTTCTTCCTTTAGAGAGTATAGCTTTTGAAAGTAGTCTGTTAGAATTGTTTGGATATCTTGGGTACGTGTTGTGATGTTTCCCGTGGCATCCCTAATCCTATTAATATGGGTTTCCTCTCTTCTTTTTTTAATTAATCTTGCCAACAGGCCATCAATTTTGTTTATTTTTTCAAAGAACCAGCTTTTTGTTTGGTTTATTTTGGTTATGGTTTTCTGATTTTCTAATTGGTTAATCTCTGCTCTCAATTTGGTTATCTGGCTTCGTCTAGTAGCTTTAGGTCCCATTTTTTCTTGTTTTTCTAGCTGTTTTAGTTGCAACATGAGATTATTTACTTGGTCTGTCTCCATTCTCTTGATGTGGGCACTGAGGGCAATAAATTTGCCCCTCAGGACTGCTTTTGCTGTGTCCCACAAGTTTCTTTGTGAGGTGTTTTCATTTTCATTGAGTTCTAGGAAATGCTTTATTTCTTCTCTGATCTCTTCTGTTACCCAGGCCTTGTTAAGGAGTGTGCTGTTCAATTTCCATGTATTAGAGAAATTTCTGCGGTATGCTTTGTTATTGAGAGCTAGCTTGATTCCACTGTGGTCAGATAGGATACAGGGGATTATGTCGATCCCTTTGTATTTGCTTAAGTTCCTTGAATGAACTATGATATGGTCTATTTTGGAGAAAGTTCCATGAGCTGCTGAGAAGAATGTGTACTGTGTTGTTTTAGGGTGAAATACTCGGTAGATGTCAGTTAATTCCGCTTGAAGTATGGCCTCACTTAATTCGGTAGCTTCTTTGCCAATCCTCTGGTTGGTAGACCTGTCCTTTGGTGAGAGTGGGGTGTTAAAGTCTCCTAGTATTATCGTATTGGGATCTATTTTATTCTGTAAGTTTGAGAGCATTTGTTTAACATATCTGGGTGCACCGATATTTGGGGCATATAAGTTGATGATGGTTATATCCTCCTCTTGGATTGTTCCCTTTATTAATATGTAGTGTCCGTCCTTGTCTTTCTGTACTGATTTTAATGAAAAGTTTATTTTGTCAGATATCAGGATAGCTACACCTGCTTTCTTATTGGGGGAATTTGATTGGTAGATCCTTTTCCACCCCTTCACTCTGAGTTTGTTTGTATGTTTGGCTGAGAGGTGGGTCTCCTGAAGGCAACAGATGGATGGGTCTTGTTTTCTGATCCAGTCCTCAGTTTGTTTTCTTTTAATTGGCGAATTCAGCCCATTTATATTAAGAGAAAGTATAGAGAGATGCATAGTTGTCCCTGCCATTCCGTTTTCCTAAGTTTTTCTTCTTTCCTTTCCTCCTGTGCTTGCTCAGTTAGACTTTGAGTAATGCCTGTTTGGGGCAGGTCCCAGTTCCTGGTTGCTTTCTTCAGGTTGTGTCCCCCCTCTTAGAATTCTTTGCAATGCTGGCTTAATGTTTATGTATTCATTTAGTTTTTCTTTGCTATTAAAAGTTTTCAGTTCTCCATCGAATGTGAATGCTAGCTTTGCCGGGTATATCAGTCTGGGTTGGCAGTTATTGGCTCTCAGGGCTCGTATGGTGCTTTCCCAGGCTTTTCTTGCATTCATTGTTTGTGTGGAGAGATCTGCAGTGATTCTAATTTTTTTCCCGTTGTAGTATAGCTCCTTCTTCATTTTTGCTGCATGCAGGATTGTTTCCTTATTATTCAGATCCATCATTTTTACTATTATGTGCCTAGAAGTGTTTCTCCTGGAATCTTGCTTGTTGGGTGTTCGATAAGCTTTTGTGATGTAGTTAAGATGGTCGTTTTTGAGGTGGGGAAAATTTTCATTGACTATCTTGTTAAATAGGTGTTGCATTCCCTTGCTCTGGAATTCCTCACCTTCGTCCACTCCGATTATGCGAAGGTTAAATTTTTTAGCATTATCTGCTTGCTCTTGAATTTCCCTTTGGTTTAATTTGAGTGATTTTTCCATATCTGTCACTTTTTGGTCCAGTTGGTGTATTCTGTCTTCTGTATCTGACACTCTACCTTCCATTTCATTCACTCTGTTGACCGTGGCTTCTATTGTGGTTTGCATGGTGGAAATGGATCCCTTTATGGATTCAATGTTGGTTCTCAGAGTACTGATCTCACCTCTCAATGAGGTGAGATCAGTATGCATTACCTCTAATTTGGCGTTTATCTCACTTCTTACTGAGGTTTGTGCAGCTTCTATTTTTGCATCCAACTTTTGTTTGATATCCTGTATATCTTTTGATAGTTCATCCTTGTGCTCTTTCAATTTCTGATCCATTTCTCGCTTTATTTCTTGAGTCATTGCCTCCAGCAACCCTTGGATGTAGTTTTTGTCTTCCATTCCTGCTTTGCTCCCACTGGGGCTCTCCCCTGCGTGGCTGCTGGCTTTTGAGGTGAGCTTGCTGTCCTGGGTAGTGGTAAACCTTGTGATTTTTCTCTGTGATTTTCGCATGGGGGTTCAGGAGACTGCTCTTCAATCTTGTTTTGGTGTGTCTGTCTTTGCTTGGTTGCTGATTCTGTATTGGTAGAGAGAGTCTGTGCCTGATCTGGATTCTGTTGGGAGCCTATTTCCAGCTGCTATTCTGACTTACTTAGGATTCTCAGCTCTCTGCTGTAGCAATTCCCGCCTTTGGAAGGGTTGAGCAGCCTAGACTGCTTGTGTTTGCTCCTGCGGGTGCTCTTGGGAAGATCAGATGCTCTGGATGCACTCTCCCAAATACTGGAGTCTGCTATGGGCTCCTGATGTGTTTTTGTTTGTTTGTTTTGGGCTGGTTGTGGGCTTGAACTCTAGGTTTGGGTGCTGTCCCTCAGCTCTTCAGCTCAGGGCTGGCACCCTACCATTTGAGCCACAGCCCCACTTCTGACCCTTTTTGCTTTGTTCAGGCGCCGGTCCCCTGGCCTGGTTCCGGCCCCAGCCTGGAGCGCGCTCGTTAGGCCTGTGCTAATGTGTATACCACCTAGGTTATGCAGCCTGGAGGACACAGTTCAAATTTCTTCTACTGTTGATAGTCTTGACCCAGGGGCGCTCTTGCTCTGGCCTGGCCAGCAGAGTGTGCTCCACCGGCTGGTGGAGCTCTCGAACAGTTCCCAGTTTTAGTGGGTCCTGTGGTCCGGGTGTTGGGGTAGGGAGTCTAGGTCAGGGTCTGGGGATTCCCTCCAGCTCTGGTCTCCCTTGATGGATTCCCTGTCCCCTGATGGGTACTCACCCTGTAGGTCGTCAGTTGTTGTTGCAGTCCATCAGTTGTTGTTGCAGTCCGAGTTCAGTTGGGGTGGTTGCAGGCTGGGTTGGGCGGGCCCCCCCCCGCCGGGTAGTTGCGATCGCGATTGGGCGGGTGGTCGGGCGGACAGGTCCCTTTGTCGCGCTGCTGGTGCCGGGCGGCTTTGGCGGGATGGAGCCTCTCCGCTCCGGTGGAGAGTGAGGGGTGGGGGTGGGATCCTCGTGGAGACTCACGGCTGGTAGGTTTCTCTGTTCCTTGCGATCCGCTGTTCTGCAATCCGGTACCTGGTGATCTGCAAGCAGCCCCCTGTGTCTCTGTGGCTCCGGCAGCCCCCGCCGGGCCGGCTGGCCGGCGGCTTGGCGCACTGCCGCGCGGCCAGTAAGGTTGGGGGAGGGGTCTTCGCTCTTCTCTGTTCTGAAATTCTTCTTTTCCTCTCTTTCTTTTTTTGTAATTTTCCACCTCTGGTTTTTCTCTGAGTGTTCGTCTTTTTGTTGTTGTCGGTCTCTTGGGGAGATTAAACGTTGGAACTCGAACTCTCTTTTTGGTTGGAGAGAGCTGTGGCGTTTCCCTACTGCCCCGTCGCCATCTTGGTCCCCCCTGTAAAAACTTTTTAAAGAAAAATTTAAGCTGGGCACTAGGGGCTCACGCCTGTAATCCTAGCTACTCAGGAGGCTGAGATCTGAAGATCCCAGTTCAAAGTCATCCCGGGCAGAACAGTCCATGAGACTCTTATCTCCAATTAACCACCAGAAAACTGGAAGTAGCACTGTGGCTCAAGTGGTAGATTTCTCACCTTGAGCTCAAGAGCTCAGGGATAGTGCCCAGGCCCAGAGTTCAAGCATCATGACCGACCCCCCCCTCTCCAATTTTTTTTTCTATACACACATCTTTTTATTAAAATGTCTTCAAGGAAACAAATGAATAATGAAAAAATTGTATCTAAGTCTACATATAGTTATACATATTAACACACACATAGAAAATAGACTAGAAAGAAATATCCCAAACTATTAAAACCATGGTTGTCTTTGAGTAGTCTGATAGAGATTTGCTTGGCACCGTATGTATTTCTCTGTTTTCTCCAAATATCTCAATCAACATTTAACTTTGTTAACATAACAAATTACACATATTTTTAAAACAACTACACATTTCTATCACAATGTGTTCTAACATTCAAGTTCATGTTAGAAGAACAGGTGTTTTTATTAAAGTCCTGCTGAGATTCCACACATTCCCTGGGACTCCAGACTCACCCTTAAAGGTTCCTTGAGATTCCAGCTGGAGACAGAGACTAGAGAATGGCTCAGAGAATTTGTTCCTGATTCTTGAACTATTGGAACAGAAAAAAAGGTACTGAGTTAAGATCTATAAACTATTGTGTTCTGTAGACCAGAGGGTCTCAACTATGACCTTAAAGCTAGAACTCAATAGTAGTGACCAGCTGACAGACCCTAGCTGAAGCTCAGGCTAAAAGACCATGGGGTGAGTAGTATGAGGGAGAATGCTGATGTAAGAAGACAGGTGAAACTTGGGGGTTAATGAAGCGTGGTAGCTATGGTACCCTAGAGACACTAGAGTCAGAATTGGGTGGTAATCAGGCTAAATACTGGAGCTTGGCAGCAACAAAGTTCACCACATTCAAAAGTCGAAATGTACATAGCTTCACCACCTGTGTAAATTAAGGTACAGACTCTTAAAGACCAGATACTAGAACTGATTGGTAGTATTTTGCAGAAGGCTGAAATGCCGTGGTTTGGTAAATATGGGAAGCAGGAAGATGTTGTGATGGAGGTGGCAGATCTGGGATAGGAAAGTATAAAGGTATGTGCACTCTAGCCACAGGCCAGGAGTGGGATGCGGCATTCATCCACTGGAATAGTCTGTCCACCCACCCAGTGAGTGAATCTACCAACCATTTCCACTGTGTACAAAATAAACATACTTTAGAAAACTAAGAGGCCAAGGTTATTCTTACCAGACTGTTTATATTTCTGTATTTTTATCTTCAGATCTACTCTGTGGATATTCTTCAGGCATGTTTCTAATAAATTCAGCTGATCTGGAGAAATCAAATCCAGTTTCTCCAATTCATTCACCAGATCCAAGAAACTCTAAGAGAGCCACAAAAAGAAACAAATGTGAGTGGAGTTAATAAACTCATGAACACCTCAGACCATGAGATTTACAACAATAAGAAAATGTGACAAGATGTGCCATTCCAGTGTGATCTTTAGTAATCCTAATATATCTGTCCTCAGTAAATTGCCCTCCTGAGTTTGACTCTGAGAAAATGTCACTTGCAGTTACTTTGGTTATCATGTTGTTCCTAGGTTGGAGAGACGATGGGCTATTTTGTGTCAAGGAGTGCCAAGAGGACTGGGGGCATGGTTCAGGTAGTAGTAGAGTAGCTGCCTAAAAGTCTTGACTTCAAACTCCAGTAACTGACCAAAAAAACTTTTTTAACTGGAAAAAAATAGGAGACTTTAATTCCCATTTCCTTCTAGGAGAGGAGAAAATGTTTCTTTCTTTTTTCTATTTCTCTCTACTTTAACCCTATTATATAAAATAAATCCTTGATATAAGTTAATAAGTAAATAAACAAATAAATAAATGTACCATGAAAGAGTAGGCCTGAAAACAAACTCCTGAGTTGTTCATTCTCTTTCAACAAAGATCACGCTGGTGCTATACTGGAAGCTCTAAGTACTTTCCTTAACAAAAAGGAAAATAAAAGGTAGCTGAGGGGGAGGTAGTATATGAAAAATTCCAGTGATTCAGTCTTACAGTTCTTAAACTGTATTAGTAAATGCTGGACATTTCAGCTCATTCCAGGTCAGTTGATTACACAAAAAGGTTTAGGCACTTTGCTACTCATTTATTTTGAGCTACAGAGATTGTGAAAGCAGGATTTTTGTTTTTTTAATTTCTTTTGTGCTGAACTGCTTTATTTTCATTTTTAAAATAATAATAACAAACATAGTTAAACATATAAAAATGACAGAAAGTGATTAGGGGGCACCAAAACAGACTTTGTATTTTCTCATTTTCCTTCTCATTTGACACCTGAGGTGAGAGCACCTGTTACCCTGCATTCCCAGATTTCAGAAATGAACTTTCACATAAAGGAACATGAACAGTTTCTCAATCAATGACCAATCAGTCTTCAGAGGCAGGCTAATCATTTGAGGACCTATTGTTATTAGTTAGAGATGCAGACTTTTCTTGGCCTATAGTACCAAGCAAGGCTAGAATTTAGATATTCTTCCATCAATTACAATATCTCTAAAACCTTTATATCTATCTGGTCTTCACACAGATCTGTACACAGGCCATTTCCCTGGTGTATTGGTCACAAGGACCTTCCTTTTATCACACAGGCTCTGCATGCAGTCTCATGACCTCACATGGACTTGAGCTAGTTGAAGAGAAGTAAGATTATAGTCTGCCAGCATGGACTAGCTCTTCTGACTTTCTCTAGTTGGTACCAGTAGGTGGGACTTCCTAACCCTGCAGGTAATGTTAAACTAGGGGAAGAACTAATGTATAAACCAGGTCTATTTATTTTACAGAAATAGGATCAAACCTAAGGATAAAAGAAACACCCAAGAGCTGGGTAGTGGTGTCATCCTAGCTGCTCGGGAGACTGAGATCTGAAGATCATGGTTAAAAGCCAGCAGGAAAGGCTATGAGACACTTATCTCCAACTAACCACCTAAAAATCAGAAATGGAGCTATGGCTTAAAGTGGTAGAGTGCTGGCCTTGAGCAAAAGATCTCAGGCACAGTACCCAGGCCCTGTGTTCAAGCCCCATGATTGACAATAAAAAAGAAAGAAAGAACCAAAGCTATACCAGCATCACCCTACTTATTTTTACTTCAGAAACCAATTATTTTGGCATCAAAGTTATGAAGAAAACAAAACAAACCCTTAGACTTCTACTAATATGGCATGTTCACATGAATTCCCTCTCTCCAAACAATAAGAAGCAGTCCTAACTTCTAATAGGCTCTTGGGAATAGAAAACAGAAAACTCACCTTGTCCTTTGCTGTCTTAGCTCGGCCTATGTAATCCCTCATGAGGAAAATTAACGAGGACACATCAGATTTAGCCAAATTCTCATCAATCTCTGTTATGAGCACCCTGTGAACAAGACAAGTTTCTTTAGTAAAGAAGTGCTTAATGAGAACTCCTAAGAACCCATTCATGAAGAAAAATGTAGCTGTGCTGTTAAGATTATACTTCAGTAACTTAAGCTAAAGGGTTTTTTATATTTTGTGCATCAAATAAAATTGATTTTTTATGAGTAAGGGGGGAAAAAAACTCATTCCTATCCAGGCCAAAATTGCTTAAAAAACTAGCTCTTGTCTGCATGTGAATGTGTTCCTCCTCCCATAAAACAGGAAGAGAGCTTAAGGAAACTAAAAAAAAATTATCTTGTCTTTTTTTTTCTGGTCCTGGGGCTAGAACTCAGGGTCTGGGCTCTGTCCCCGAGCCCCTCTGTGCTTAAAGTTAGCACTCTACCACTGGAGTACAGCACCACTTCCAGCTTTTCCTGAGTAGTTTGTTGGACATAAGTTTCACAGACTTTCTTTCCTAGGCTGGCTATGAACAGCAGTCTTCAGATTTTATTCTCCTGCCTGAGTAGCTAGGATTACAGATGTGAGCCACCAGTGCCTGGCTTTTGTCTGGCTTTTAATAGGACATAGTACCTTCCTTTCCAACTAAAAAAAAAAAAAAAAAAAACCCCAGAGAACAGAAACTTCCCTTAAAAATCCCCTAGCAATGAAATGAATTGACCATCTAAGTGACTGGCCTTCATAACTAACATGAAAGCTAGAAATAGACTTTATGAGTAGCCTTTCTTCTCTTTTTTATTTTCATTTTTATTGTTATTACAAATATGATATACAGAGGAGTTACAGTTAAATAAGTAATGAGTACATCTTTTTGGACAAGGTCAACTCTTCCCTTGCTTTCTCCCAGTTTTTTCCTCCCATCCCCACTCACAAGTTGTTTAGTTCATTTTTAATATAATGTCCAGTGAAAAGCACTGCTTTTCTTTTTTTAATGTTTTTTATTGTGAAAATGCTGTACAGAGGGGTTACAGTTACATGAGTAAGGTAATGAGTACATTTCCTATCGAGCATTGCTACCTCCTCCTTTGTTATTCCCCTACCACTGCTTTCCTTTTTAACAAGCTGTCAGTTGCTGTTGATCCAGGAGCCATGCTTTGAGCCTAAAGCAATGAAATATCTGAGTTAACCCTAGTCCTCCTAAGGAATCTAACCTGAGATGTCTTGGTCTACAAAATTTCCTACTCCAGGGCTCCTGGGACAACCTCATGGTTAGTATTGCTACCATGAATATGACTGCTTCTTAGAAGGTTGTTTTCCCAAGAAGCCTCTCAGATTCTTAGGCATGGGAATTCTTCAGTGATTTTGCCCTAGAGCTTAACAAAATATCTAGCTACACTTAAACACAATGAAACTCGCTAAACAGACAGAAAAAAATGAATCTAAGCTTTCTACTTCACCTAACAGCATCTTAGAAAGGGTCTGACCCTCCGTCTCCACTCATCACAGCAAGGCAGTGGGAATGAGGAGATGGCACTTACCTCGTCTCAGGAACCCTGTTGGTGTCTCCTGAGTGTGTAAGATCACTGACATTATAAGAGGTTGGAAGTAAATTGATATAGTAAATTAATGTGACTGATGCTCATGTTTGTGAAGCTGGGTCTTATAATTTTTCAATATACAAATTGGAAAGCAAAGGTCAGACCAAGTTTAGTGACTGGCTTAGCCTACAAGGCCTATATAAATATGTAATATATAAAAATATATATAAGTAGTTGGTCCAAGGCTTAAAACAGGCCTTTCATCCTCAACTCAGCATTTTCCAAAGCCCACAAGTGCTTTCAGCTCTCCTCTGAGTGTGGTTCTTAACATCATCCCCAAATATGATTATTGATTATTGATAGAATAAAAGGCTAGTGACCTGGAGAAACAGCCATTTTAAAGAAACATGTTCTCTCCTCCCCCAGCCATTCTCTCTTTATCCTGCAGGGAGATTACAGGTTGGTTAACTGAAGAGATTTTTTTATTTGGGCCCTGCAGAGCCTCTGGAGGGCAGGACCACAAGAAGGGAGTCCACCGTTAAAACTTCCTCAGCAGAGGAATGGCTAGCTAGGATTCAGAAGAGATCTGAGTTCTACAGTAGTGTGAGGAAGGCTGTTGAGACTTGTCATTTCCTTTCTCAGTACTGGAAATTGCCAGAGTGACATCACAGAAAAATCAGATAAGAAATACCGCTGCAGCCCTCACACTATCAAAGACTGGCAAGAATTACTTGCTCTTGGTTGTTCCTATCTTGTTCCTTGTTATTCTATCCTTCAGCCACACATACACCATCTGTCCTCTACTTTTTCATTGTGATCTTCTACCCAATTCTTTCAGGCAATTGTGTTTTAAGAATTCAGTTCACTGGGTGAGAGTCAGGGAAGGAGGGACTTTGTCCAAAAAGGAAGGTACTCATTACCTAACTTATTTAACTGTAACTCCTCTGCACATCATCTTTATAATGACAATTTTTAAAAAAGAAAACTAGCTGGGCACTGGTGGCTCACACATCTGATCCTACCTACTTAGAAGGCTGAGATCTGAGGATTATGGTTCAAAGCCAGCCTGGACAGGAAAGTCCATGAAACTCTTATCTCCAATTAACCCCCAGAAAACCAGAAATGGGACTGTGGGTTAAAGTGGTAGAGTGCTAGCCTTGATCAGAAAAGCTCAAGGAGAGTGCCCAGGCCCTGAGTTCAAGCCCCACAACCAACAACCAAAAAAAAAAAACTTTAAAAAATTCAGAGTTCAAAGGAAATGAAGTAGAATTAGACAGCAGTTGGATCAGAGGTGAGGTAAGATAAAGTACCCTGACTTCTCACAGTCCTCGTTCCTATCATCCAGTAGAATCTACACCATCTCCCTCCTTCCCACCAGCCCAGTCTGGGGAAAAGCTGATGAATTACCTATAGTCCGAAACAAGATGGTGCGGGTTCCCATGCAGGTGGGCTTCCACTGTTCTTCTGTCCATCTTTAGGATCCGCTTAAGTAGGTCAAACCGCCCCATTCTGTAGAGCAGCTCAGCCAAGTCCAGGATAGACAGCTTCCCTCTTTCACGTAAAGTATCCAAAAGGTCCCTGGCATTAGGTAGAACCTCATCTGTAACGACATCCCGGCACAAAAATAGCAGTCTCTCCCTCTCATCTTCATCGAGTGCCTCTTCCACCTGATGGATGATGACTGCAGAAGGTACCTGGCACAGTGCCATGATAAAAAACTGCATCAACAAAGTTCCAGTCCACTCAAAAGAGAGCCATGGGTCTTGACGAATCAACTTCATTTCTGAGAGCTTTCTTCATTTCTTTCAGAGTTCTTTCCAATGGAAGAGTTCTGTCAGAGAGGAATTTTCTTTAAACCCTTTTATCAAAGTAATTTATGCCTACAACTCAAAGTATAAACACTTCCTTTTTTTACTGGCCTTCCTGAGTTAGATTAAATTCCTATTTTAAAATCTAAAAAAAGGATCCTTAGTAGACAAAGCCAAAACCCAAAAATGATCAAGAAACCAAGAGACACAAAAGAAAACCTACATGTTCAAGGAAATGAAACTAAAGGCAAAATACTCCAAAAACTCCCATATGGCTTATCTGAACTTTTCAGAATGTAAAGTAGGCTATTACAATAATGACAAAATTACGATCAGTGAGATCATTGACTTTTGGGGGAGGAAAGGAAAAAAAAGCCCAATGACTAAGCAGGTGAGTGGGGAAAGTACTGTCAGAAGAGTTAACTCTCCCATAAGAACTTGAAGAAATGGGGGCTCTGTTAAAGATAAGCTCTTTATGGTAACACAAATAGGTCTGTCCTTTCCCATTGCTCTCCCACATAATTTCTTTCTTTTTCATAACTTTTTTTTATTGTCAGATGATGTACAGAGGGGTTACAGTTACATACATAGGGTAGTGAGGTAGATTTCTTGTCAAATTTGTTCATGCCCAACCGTAAGCCTTGCCATCCACCAAAAGCTCAGGCCCTTTTCATAACTTCATCATGAATGCCTATAGGGCTAAGCTATGATCCAGTCAGATTGTAATCAGGTCTTCAGATCCTCTGGAAGTGAGAGAAGGTCCAGAAGCTCACTACCCTGCTACATTGGTCATTAGAATTCCTTATGGTGTCAGTGGGAGGGCAGAAGTAGAATGCATGTGAAGGTGGTGGCCTGGGTGTGTTTTTGTCTTGGTGCCAGCCCTGGGCTTGAACGCAGGACCTGGGTGCTGTCCATGAGGGGTTTTGTTGTTGTTTTTCTCAAGGCTAGCATTCTACTGCTTGAATGACAGCTCCACTTCTGGAATTTTACTGGTTAATTGGAGATAAGAGTCTCATAAACTTTCCTGCCCAGGCTGGTTTTGAACTGCATTCCTCAGATCTCAGACTCCGGATTACAGGCATGAACCACAAGTGCCCAGATAGTATATTCATTCTTAACTTCTACTGGAATTCAACAATATTTTTTTTTAAACTTTAAGTTATAAGTAATGCTTACATCTACACTATTTTAAAGTTTTATAGTTATAATTTATAATAAACTGGTTCTTGTACTCTGGGTAAATACCTTGTTTGTTACCATGAAATGATAAACCTAACCTGAAACTAAAACAGTAATTGGAAAAAAATACCCTAGCTTGAAGTTGATAATGGTTGCTCTGTATACAATTGTACTTACTACTAGAAGAACCCAAATAAATAATAGGGGAAAAAAATAAAACAAATAAGAGGTCATTAAACATGGAGTGAAAAATACTATTCTAATTTGCCAGGTTTGAAAAAGAACCAAACAGGGCTGGGAAGGTGGCTCAGTGGTAGAGTGCTTGCCTTGCTGCATGAGGCCCTGGGTTCAATTCCTCAGCACCACATAAGCAAAAAGAAAAAACCCGGAAGTGGTGCTGTGGCTCAAGTGGTAGAGCGCTAGCCTTGAGCTGAAGAGCTGAGGGACAGCGCCCCACGACCGGACCCAAACAAAAAACAAAAAACAAACAAACAAAAAAAGAACCAAACAGAATTATGAGAAATGAGAGGTTTAATTCTCTATTTTCAAAAAGTCTTCTAACTTTTATAATTCATAACTATAAGTGATATAATAACACCATAAAGAGTTAACAAAGTCAGATAGTGGTTTAAAAAAATTATCTGCTCAGTTCATTTTCTTCAACCATTATGCCTTTGACTGCTTTCTACCAGTCACGCACACTCAGGAAGAACCCTGGCATGCTGGCATGCTGTCTTCCCTCTGTGCTAATGGGGGGGGGGGGGGGGGGGATAATTTGGCAGCAAAATCCAAATTACTCAGAGGTAGCATCTGGCACACTGAAAGAAAATATCAAAAGGAAAATACAGATTGGCATAAAGACAGGTCACCTACATGAAGCAAAATGTCAGTGCCAAATAATGTTAAGTGTGTAGAGGGGTCTTTTAAGCTCAAACCAAGAAATTAACATCAACATTCCTCCAATACTATCAAAGTCCATAAGGTCTTCAGTAGCAAACTCAAAATCCCCACAAAAAATCCCCAATCCAGCTTACGGTATATGAGGCATACAGAGAATGTTCTCCTCCTCTTCCTCATTCTCCCCTTCCTTTTCTTTCTCTTCCTCCTTTTATGACCATGTGTCACTATATAGCCTGGCTTGCCTCAATTTCACAATCTTTCTGCCTAGCCTTCTCATGCTGGGATTTCAGGCCTGTACCACCATACTCAGCTACAAAAGAACTTCTGCTGGAAGTAAGCTCATGCTAAAAATTACTATGATTGCCAGGTGCCAGTGGCACACACCTCTAATCATAGCTACTCAGGAGGCTTATATCTGAGGATTTCAATTCAGAGCCAGCCCAGGCATGAAAGTCCACAAGCCTCCTATCTCCAGTGAACCACCAAAAATACCACTGGAATTTCCAGCTGGAAATGGAGCTGTGACTCCAGTGGTAGAGCACAAAAGCCTTGGGCAAAAAAGCTCAGAGACATTGCACAGGCCCTGAGGCCAAGCTCCAGGATGGCACAAATACACACCCATGCGCGCGCGCGCGCGCGCGCGCACACACACACACACACACACACACACACACACACACACACAAACAGAAGTCATATCCTAGGAACATATATCTGAGATAATTGTAAATAAGCGTAAAATTTCTTTAAGAAGATAAGGAATACTTCTGCAATAGTATAGATTGTATTAATGTTTCTTATTCAGAGTAATTTTGCCCCTTATGGGATATTTGATAACATCGGAAGACTTTTTTTTTATCACAAAGTGCTATATGATCTAATGGATAGAAGCCAGGAAGGTTATTAAACATCCATAGTCTCCCCATCCTACCCAGCCTAAATACCATAGCACTGAAGCATTTTAAGGGAGTTCTTTTTTTCTTCAGATACTTTCATTCAGTTGCTTTTCCTTTTCCACTTTGGTACACACTGTCCTGACCTACAGCAGCTAAAACACAAGATTCATCAGTTCCAGTTTCATTTCTCTGGCAGAAATCACGAGATCACCACCAATGGCTGCTTAAAATTCAAAATAGAACTTAAGTCCTTAGAGTTTATTTTTTACAACACTGGCTCAACTCATAAAAGAAGCATCAAGGTCTGAAAATAGAAAACACTCTAGACATTTTCAGCAGAAAAAATTTAAAAAAAAAAAACTGCTGAAAAGGATGGAAGAAGGGACTCTAGGCTGAGCTTTGAGCAAGGACTCCTGGAGTCCTTAAAACCACCTTGGCTGGGGCCAGGACAGTGGGCAGTCAGGAGGCGACCACTGGAAACACTGATTTTAAAGATACTGTCCATAGCAGAACACTGAGACCAGAAGTGGCCCCATCACATTTCCTGTTTCATCCAAAAAGCTGGTGACTAAATGCTGCTCTCCAAACCCCATACCACCACACTCTTCTTGCCAGCAAAGAAACTAAGAAAAGCAGCTAAGTATTACCATCCACCTACTTCCTTTGCAAATCTTGTCTGAATTCACCCAACTGGCAGAGCTTAATCATATCCTAGTTGCAAAGGAGCCTGGCAAATGCAGTTTACAGAGGTGAGAATGAACCCTGGCTAGCACAGAAGTATATTTTCATGAGGGCATTTATTTCTCCTTTGTGGCAAATCCTCCATACAGACAGTGTGTGACTCATGGAGAGCACCTGTGTTGTGAGAGAATGAATGGTAACCATCTCACTTTTTTTCCCAGACTACAACTTGAAATATGTGCTTCAAGCTCTCTGTGCCCAGTGCCTTCAGTCCCCCTCAATCCAAGGATAAAATCAAGGAAATCTTTTGCTCCTGAGAGCCAATATTATAATACCTCAAGTGAGCAACTAGACATGGTATACCCAGAACATTCTACTTTTAGCATTCAAGTCTTGTATCCCAGGAAATCCTTCTGCTAAAAGTGGGCTGATTGGTTACGTTTTACCAGTCAGAGTCTGAACCTTCTCTACTTGCATATCTATAGTAGCAAGTAGTCCAGAAGGAAAGAGGGAAATATCACACTACATGGAAGCTGACATCAATAACAGTGTGGTCTCCAACTTCCCATGAGCCTGTCCGGAACCCTGATCAGCAACCTCTTCCACAACCTTAAGGGAGAGTTCCAACCTTCACTGCTTTCTTCATCGATCACCACCTACTGGCACCATTTCTCATCTGGTGACCTTGCCACTTATAAGGTTTGAGTTTCCACAGCTTTCCCCACCTGGCATTTTTCGGTCCCTCAGTTTACCTAGGACCATCTCCCTTTTCTCTTCTTGTCTGCACTAAGCCTCTATACCAAAGCTTTCATCAGTCTCGTATAGACCCTAGGATGCCTTTCCTCACATCATAAACATGTTCAAGATTCTTCCATCTTAAAGAGTTGTAAAACAACAACAACGTAATCCTGTGGTCCTTTGGACCAACCATTCTTACACTTTCTTTTCACATGAAGCTGGAACTTCATGAAGGAATAGTCAGTGCTTCAATTTCCTCAACTTCAACTCCTCCACATCCCTCCACCTTCGCTGTCCCAAGGACACATCTTTTCACCATGCTACACGGTGCCAATCCATCAGTAATGCTGATGTTGTTTTTGTTTATTGTTTATTTAAATTTTCAGTAATTTATTTTTCAGATTTGGGACATCTATGTTAAGTGTTTTAAATGCTGTGTTGGAATATTATACATTATGGTTACTCAGTTTTTGAATACTCCTTTAAATGGTGAACAAAAGCAAGTACCTCACTTACCTATCCTGTATTGAGCCCTGATATGCTGTTCTTGTCAAGGCCTCCCATTGACACCTTTCAGGACACTTAGAAGTTCTCAGACCCAACAACCCTTCTTCTAGGTATATACCAAAAGAAATGAAACCATCATCTCATAAAGATAGCTGCACTCCCATTTCATCGCAGCATTATTCACAAAAGTCAAGATGTGGAAACAACTAAGTACTCTTTGATGGATGAACGAATAAAGGAGCTGGTATGTTGGCCTGGATGTATGACTCAAGTGGTAGAATGCTTGTCTAGCAAATCCAAAACCTAGGAGGGGAGTGGGGGAAAAAAAGGGGAGGAGAAACTGGTATGTGGATACCATGG